TGCGGGGAAAAAATGAGAAAACAAAAATAATGATAGCGCGCCCCATGGCTAACAGCGTTCCAATTAGGGACAGTTCGACTCCGACACAGTTCGAATTTCTTGTTCTGTTTTGACACATGTTCGGTTTTAGGTCTGTTCGATTTTGGAAGCGTTCGAATTCGTCGTACCAAAAAGAAGTAGAAATTAAAAAATTAGATTCTTCTGAAAGTAAAGGTACTCATTGGGTTTGCTATTTCAAAAATAGAAAAATATTCTAGAGGTGGGTTCTAGAGTTGGATCTAATCCAAAAGAGTACTTTGACTCTTTCGGATTAGATCTACCTCTAGAACACAGGAGCCAAGTCATTCAAGATTTATTTCAAAAAGTCTGAAAATGACGAAAATGTACGAAATTTTTTCTGAAACTTGAATAGAGATTTCAATATTAGTGTATATTGTCAAAAAAGTTGTCTTGAGACTATTTTGAAAACTTCCAACAAAAACTTAAAAACTTTTCCTTAAAAAACTTCAGATTTTTCATTTCCCAGGGGTGCCCTATAATTATGAGGCGGCCAAAAAGTGACTCTTGAACCCTGTGAGCTTAAAAATGGTTCCATGGAGCTGAAACATTGTACAATTAGTTTTTTTACATGCTGAATCGAACTGCGTTTACAGATTTGTTTTGGCCTTTTTGGTTTTTTTCAGAACGCTCATCCCGGAAGGGTGTCCTCTCAGGTAAACGATTCTGAATTAGATCTGACTTCATACGGAATTAGATCTGGGTTCGTTCGTAAATAGAAGTGGCATGATCAAATACAGAATTTAGCTGATCTAATTCCGAACGAACACCGAATGAACTACGAACGAATTAGATCTAATTCCGAACAGACCAGCGGGATTTCGGAGCATCGTAGCGAGCGCTTTTCAAATTTTGTTTTCTTTTCAACGTCATTCACTTTATTTATAATAAAATTTATTAAAAAAGAAAACAGAACAAGTATGAGAAAAAGAAAAACATTGATTAAAATTTAGATATAGGAAATCGGAACGAAAATGAGGGATGTGATACAAATGAATTAATGGGATCAGCAAAAAAGAAAACGATGAGATCAGCGAGAATAATGGGACCTATGAGATAAGAAAAAGTGACAAAATTTATGAAAAAAAAATCTCAATTCGTATTCTTCCGCTCGTCCATATTTTCGATTTTGAAAATTCTCTTGTCATAGTTTCCGGTTGTAGATAAGATGGATATTCTTTATGAAATGAATGTCGATTTAACTGAAAAAAGAAGTTTTTGGCTTTGTGATGAGGATAATAAACTTACTTGACCCCATTTCAATATAATTTCCGTACTCAAATCTTTGCAAATCCAAATAAATTCATCAGAGCAGTTGTTTTATACAACAAATCCCAACTTTTTGAATCGTTTTAATCGGGTCATGACACATTCGGTTGAGAGCCTGCAATTTCACACATGTTTCTTTGTCCACCACACTTTCGAAAACTAACCTGCTCATGACAAGACACGGCTTCCGAAAGTAAGGCCTTCTCGACTTGTGTAAATTGAGCTCACTATCAGAGAAATTTATCATCTCTTTTTTTTCTTGTTTTTTTCGGTGATCCCTTGCATCGTTTTTACGTAATCCTTTAAGCTGAAAAGGGCAAAAATTACCTGCAGTGTTTTCTCCGAATTTAAAATCTTCAAAATCGTCGTATTTTTGTCGGTTCATAGAATTACTGTCTTCTCTATGAATTGAACTTTGAATATTCAGTTGTTCCTAAAAAAATTTACCTAAAATTTTGCAAAAACGTACACAACACATTAAAATATGTTCCAGAAAATATAGTTTAAAATAACCGAGCGAAAAAAAAGCAAAAGTTGAGAGAAAAACCCATTTTCCTGACGAAAAAAATTTAGGACAACAAAAAACAAAACAATTCATCCGCGGCAGCTGAGTCATTGATGGCGCATTTCTCGTGGCAACTTCGGTATTAGATCTAGTCCAGATCTAATTCCGAATGAACTCAGATCTAATTCAGAATTTCGAGTTATTCGATCTAATTCCGAATGAAGTCAGATCTAATTCAGAATCGTTTAGCTACAATTATGACGCGCACTGTATATTATTCGTAAGCTGGTTTTTTCTTCTAAGGAAGCCCCACCGAAACCGTCCACTTTGAGCGCAATCATCTCGATTCCCGTTTAAGATATCAAAAATTTGTCAGCTGATAAATTGTTTATCATAATATCATAAAAATTTTTATCAGTGAACAGATTTTTGATAGCTTTCACAAGAACAGAGATAATTGAGCTCAAAACTGACTGTTTCGGTAGACTTCTGCCAGAAGGAATAACTAGGGACTCCCTAGTAGGGAGAGACCTGAACTTTACCCGTGTTTTGATTTGAAAGTCGATCTACCAAAAAAAAGAGCGCTTCCTGGTTTCAAAACAGTTTCTTAATCTTGCGGTCCGGAGGCAAAAATTTGAGCTCAAAAATCAAAAAAAATATTGGAAATATAAGATAAGGAATCAGGATATAAAAAGAGTAACTATCACAAGAGATTTAGGCTTTCTAATTTCTAGCAAGCTAGATTTCAGTAAGCATTGGAAAAAAGCAATCAATGCTGCTAAACTTATTATGACACACCTGCGTAGCGACTCAGCAGTTCAGTTTAAAGGTGGGTGTACGGTAAAATTTTTTATTGCATCAAAATGTGCAGAAATGCATGTAAATTAAAATAAAAATAAAGAAAAAAAAATCCTTCNGCGAGAAAAACGCATCGAAAAATACGGCCTAAAAACTCTTGAAAACCTATACCTACCCTAGAAAACTCTTGAAAAAACCGAAAAAAAAGTGAAAACGAGCGAAAAAATTTTGAAAGTTTGAATTCGCGCGCTTTTACTCACCGGGCGGCCTAGAAAAAACCTCGTCCCTAAGGGCTTTCAGCGTATTTTTCGATGCGTTTTTCTCGCTGAAGGAATTTTTTCTTTATTTTTATTTCAATCTACATGCATTTCTGCACATTTTGATGCAATAAAAAATTTCACCGTACATCACCTTTAAAGCATGCGCGTCGATACTCAGCGCGCTTAACTTCAGTATTCGCGTTAGAGAGCATTTACTTAACGTCCTGAAAAAACACCGTGTATATTGTTCGGAGGTGGTCTGGGGTGGCACTGTATTAGGGGTGGGCATTCAATTAGAGGCTGGCACTTTATTGTTCGGCGCCAATTTCTACTGAAACTTATCACAGAAGTACTTTATTTTCAACTCTTTCATGAAACGATTTTCGAGTTTTTTTTCTTTGTCTTTCCAAAGTCTGAATTACTCTCGAAGTCTGATATACCATAAAACCTGTATTAGAAGGCCCCCTTTAATAGAAGAGCCCTTTCGAAATGCGAGTACTGAAATTAAAAAGTTCAGTACTTTTTAAATGAAAAATATTCCGAAAACTCCAAAATTTCCGATCTTTGTTGAAATACTCTTTTTTTCTTAATTTTATTGAAATCGATGCATATTCATAAATTTTTATCGAGAATTCACCGAATTTTTCGATGAAGTATTTTGGAAGAAAGGGCCTGACAAATTGAAGAGCCCCTTTAAATCGAGGTCCGTGTAATAGAAGGATCCTCCAGAATTCTAGATCCATAAATGAGGTAATTTGTAAATTGTTTTTTTTTCAAATCGCGACCTAAATATTTCGAAAAGAAGCAACGTTCCAGCCCTTGTTTTACCCTACATACCAAGTCGCGAGCTAATTCATCAAAATTCGAAAAATCAAAAATTTTCGCGACCTCAAAAAACCTTTACAAAAATCCCTCATGTATGGAAGGGTGTTTTTTCAAAAACGATTTTGAAGGAAAATAAGAACATTTTTTAGGACCACACTGACCACACTGTACACACACACACCCTCTCTCTCTCTTCGCTCTCTCACGCCCCTTACTGCTGGCTGTCTCGTTCTGGAGTTGTTGTGTAATATCAATCATGAAAACAAAAATGAGCTAAAAAACCTATTTAATTTTAAACTAGTTAAAAAAAGTGATTTACTAAAACAAGTAAACTCCTCTTCTGATGAGCAATTAAAGAGAATTGATTGAAAATTACAATAAAAAGAAAAAGGAAAGCAGTAAGCATTTGATTTAACTGATAATCAGATACACCGTTTTGAGAAGGAAGAAAAAAAAATCAAACTGAAAAAGGTAAATTCGATGAGTTTGTGGCAAAAATGGAGATGGATTGAAGACAGGGGGAGAAGTGAAAACAAGGTATTGAGATCCAAATTGTGAATAAAAACATTTGAAAGCTAATAGAGAACAGGAATTTTAAATCCTAAAATTATCACAAACTGATACAAGAGATAAGAAGGGAAAGGGAAATAATGATGAAGAGGTAAAGGGAATTGGCTGTTGAACTGGTTTCTGTTGAAGATGAGTCTGATTTACGAGTTGAACGGCAGTCGCTTGCTTAAAAAAAATTAAATTTTGTCAATTTTTGGATGATTCAGAAAAGTATTACTATGATACTTGTCGACGGCCGGCTGATATCTCTCTTCAGAATTGAAGATGTGGGCAAAACAACACAACAGATGATAGAGCTCGGTGAGCTCAACAATCTTCAAGAACAATCAACCGGCTCCGAATCATGGTACGGGCCTAAATATTTAGCCGGACCGACAGTATGCCCGGCCCGCACTCGGTCGCTAATTTAAATGCTGGTATATACTTATTGGAGGTTGTTGAACTCGTCGAATTCTATCTTCTGGTATGTTGTTTTGCCCACTATATAAAATTTAAAGCGAGTTATCAGCCGGCCCGTCGACAAGCATGGTCACCAGAGATGTCCGGAATGACTTTTTTGAAAACGGAATCCGGAATCCGGAATAATGTTCTCGGAATCCGGAACCCTGACAAATGAAAATTTTCCGGAATTTTCTCAAATTTCCGATTTCCTACCATTTTTCTGCTTCACAAAAGCTTTCGCCTCATCAATCATTCTACAATATGATCCATGAACATCTGCAATGATTCGATGATTCCCATGTAATGTAGACTCTCCCAGTTCAATTGCTTTCCGTTCGATTTTGTTATATTGTGGCCAGAAAGAGTCAGTTCTTCTGAAAAAATGAGATCATTGCCTACTGTATCCAATGCCTTTTTCTTACCCAGTGTTGGCAAAGTTTGCCCAAACTTGCATGATGATAGATGATAACCTTTTTTCGTCCTCAAGTTGTTTTTGATCGTAAAGATGAGGTCTCCAGTAAGGTTGACCAAATGCATATTCAATTTCATATCCATGCATTACACCCATCCATCTAGGCCACGGATTTGCGCTCGACCTAGAAAATATTTCTTTATGAAAGTTGTCTCCAATTTTGCAGTTCAAACCTGTAGGTAAAATAGTACATATAAACATTTCCGAATATATTATCTGATATCAAATCAGCAAAATCAATAAGAGAGCAAGTAAAGAAAAGATCTCCCAAGAATCGTGCCACACCATCTCGATATCTTTCTTCCGGTACATTACTCGTTGAAACATGTTCGTAAGAATTCATAAACGCATTCAATACAAGTTTGGATCCAGCAAAATACGGCATAAACGCTTTCATCGACTCCTCGTAATGTTCTCTTGTGATTAATGCTCTGTTGTGTGGATCTTCAGCGGATATTGTATGATTGAATGCAAATCCATATTTCGGAAGAGACATGTAATACGGTAGCCAGTAGGTTCCTTCATCTTTGACACTTCCAAATATTATATTCACATCTTTTTTGAACTGTTTGTTGTTCAATTTTTGAATTACATCACCCTGTAATATAGAAATGAGAAAGATAACCTGAATTTTATGAAAACCTGGAAGAAATTTGCATCAGACGAAACTGGAACGTATGCAAATGTCATTGGTGGACCGATATCTCCTGATATATTGTCGGCTTCTGCTTGAACTAAATGAGCTGGAACACTTCGGAGACATTTAGCAACCACATTCATATCTGTAGAACTGCAGTTGACCTTCTTTGCGAGACGAAGGGACAGATCAAGCATTGTTGGAGGAGGCGCTGATGCCCATGAATTGATGATTGAGCCACTCTGGAAATTTGAAGATTTGGAAATTTGAAAACCTTTTTTTTTGGATACTTTTGCAATGATATTTCTGAAGTATTTATGAGAGTTGGGAGCAAATAAATGAGCAGTTGCTGATGCAGATCCAGCTGATTCTCCAAACAAAGTAACTCTGGATCTGTCTCCTCCGAATGCTCCAATGTTCTCATGAACCCATTTCAGTGCCAATTGTTGATCCATTAAACCCATATTTCCTTGAATCGGAGAATCATCTCCAAAATACAGGAATCCAAAGGGTCCCAATCTGAATTCAAAATTAATGATTATTTCCAAAAAACCTAATCATACCTATAGTTCACATTAACCACAATCGTATGCTCTTTTGCAGCAAACACTGAACCACTGTACAGATCCAAAGAAGGCGTTCCACTGAAGAAACCTCCGCCATATATCCAGACCATAACAGAACCATCGTGATCTTCTGGTACCCAAATGTTCATGTTCAGACAGTCTTCTGATATTGCCTGAAATACAAATTTGATTTACACTTTTCGAATTATTCTCACTCCAGGAGGATTCCACATTTCAGCTCCAGGAAATTGAGGAAAAGCAGAGTCAATTGTTAGATAGCATGTTTTTGCAAGTGTTCTGGCTTCAAGTTCTCCACTCCATCGATCTATCATTTCGGCCATTTTGAATCTTCTCGAGCCGACCGGTGGCTTCGCATATGGAACACCCAGAAATGCAGAAACCTTTGCACCATCGAATGTCTGGAAATGAGTGATAAATGACGAGACCAGAGAAAATCGAAAATTTTCTAGAAAGTTTGGCTTGTGTCTTCAAATTCACCCTTTGCAATTATCGTAGTTCCTCAAATAAAAAGAAGAAGTACACTTGGGTCCCAGGAAGTGGGTCAGAAAAAGCGCCCCAGCAAACTCGTAGGCCAGAAGAAATTTAGTAATTTTGAAGTGGACGCGGGTTTGATCTAGATCATGATCTATTTCTTCAAAATCAACGGGTTGCAACGCGCGCTTTTTCGCTCATCGTTCAAAACATTGATTCTCAGTCAACGAAGTTCGGCAGCGAATTTTGAAATTTTAAAAAATTTATTGGGGCGCGCTTTCTGACCCGCTTCCTGGGACCCCAGTGGAGATAGGTTTTTTAAAAAATTTTTCAGAACGACACAAAAAACTTTTTTAAACTTTTGCAGCCACCTAAACCCTAGTTATTATACACTGCAAACATTTTGTAAAATGTGCATGAAATACCGTAAGACATGAAATAGAAGAGATCCCCTATCAAGTTTGAGCCGATTTTTCTTGGCTCCTACGCATGATATCCAAAATTTGCTAATTGATAAAATGTTTGCGATATTATGATAAACAATTTATCAGTTGACAACTTTTTCCATATCTCTGACAGAAATCGAGATAAATTGACTCAAAGGTAAAAGTTAAGGGTCCCTCTATTATAGGCTTTTCGGTAATTTTTCTGCCAAGTTCTTATAATCTGGTCCCCAGAGCGATAACTTTGAAACTAGAGTAAAACATCTATATTCAGGGTAACTGGTGAGAATTGCAATACTTTTTCCTGACCTGTCCAACTCCTCGTATGGTTCCAAGTGGAGTATGTACAACATGATCTCCTCTGACGATGGATCGAGTTTCGACATATTTAGTGAAAAGTGCAGCTAGCAATAAGAATCGGTAGAAGACGTGATAAATAAGGTGCCGTCGATTGACGGGCGCTCGCATGGCCAGAGAGTGTCTTCTTGTGAAGGCTAGCTGCGACGACGGCGGCTTCTGATCACGTGTGGTGCCGCACCTAGCATTCACATAGAATTAGGCGGTCTGATGATCTGAATAATTACGAGGTGAAGACGTTATGGTGGTGGATACTAATTGAAACGACGGAGCCAAAGGTAATCAGGTTAGAAGGAGGGAAGGGACACCTGCATCAGGAAATGAAACGGGGGGGGGGGGGGGGATATTGAAGCGGAAATAAGTATGATCGAAATTAGTGAAATTTGGTTTAGAACAGAAGGATCAACTAATCCCATAAAGAAGAGTAGAAAGAATAAGATTGATGTGGAAGTGGTGATGGAAGCAGAACAGGAGATTTTCTAGAGTTTTTTTGGAGTTACGGTTGAACGTCGTAGTCAATTTTTAAGCTGACGTTTCGAACCCCACCGGTAGCAGTTTATTTCCTGAAAGTTCTATTGGGGATTTTCAGGGTCAGATAATTCGCAAACCGCAATACGAATTTCAGAATTTCAGATTTTCAGAATTTCAGATTTTCCGAACTTCGAAATTCGCAGAATCTGAAAATCTCAGAATCTTAGAATCTCAGAATTTCAGAATTTCAGAATTTCAGAATTTCAGAATTTCAAAATTTCAGATTTTCAGAATTTCAGAATTTCAGAATTTCAGGATTTCAGAATTTCAGAATTTCAGAATCTCAAAATTTCAGAATTTCAGAATTTCAGATTTTCCGAACTTCAAAATTCGCAGAATCTGAAAATCTCAGAATCTTAGAATCTCAAAATTTGAGAGTTTGAGAATTTCAGAATTTCAGAATTTCAAAATTTCAGATTTTCAGAATTTCAGAATTTCAGAATTTCAGGATTTCAGAATTTCAGAATTTCAGAATCTCAAAATTTCAGAATTTCAGAATTTCAGATTTTCCGAACTTCAAAATTCGCAGAATCTGAAAATCTCAGAATCTTAGAATCTCAAAATTTGAGAGTTTGAGAATTTCAGAATTTCAGAATTTCAAAATTTCAGATTTTCAGAATTTCAGAATTTCAGAATTTCAGGATTTCAGAATTTCAGAATTTCAGAAATTCTGAATGTCAGAATTTCAGAATTTCAGAATTTCAGAATCTCAAAATTTCCGAATTTCAGAATTTCAGATTTTCCGAACTTCAAATTCGCAGAATCCGAAAATCTCAGAATCTTAGAATTTTAGAATCTCAGAATTTCAGAAATTCGGAAATTCGGAAATCCAGAAATTCTGAAATTCAAGAATTTCGGAAATTCCGATTCTCCGAATCTCAGAATCTCAGATTTTTAGAATTCGAAATTCAAAATTTTAAAATTTCGTTTTTTTTAATTCAAAAACCGCAACAGAAAATTTGACCACCGTTGCTCATTTGTGACGTAATATTCAGGTAATGAAACTATATTTGTATTTAAATTCTGAAAAGTCATAAACCGGAAATAATTCGATTTCTTCTGCTTTGATACTCTCTATAATTAGGTGCTCCCCGATACTTTGATTCTATTTTTCCGATGAACAGAACTTGAAAATTACAAAAAAAAGAAACAAATTGAAGAGATATATTTTCAAAAAAGTGTGAAAAACGCGCGAGAGTGTGACACGGAAGAGCGGTGACAGACGAAGTGGAGGCGACAAAAAAACTGAAAGTTTACGGCCAATTTTACGACCGAATCGTGTGCAAATGGGGTGAAAATGTTGCAGATGGGTGGCTATTTTGAAGGACATATCCATGGAAAAATGACACGAGAATCGGGAGGAGGAGGAGGAGAAAATTGATTTGGGTTGAAAAAAAAATTGTTAACGAAAAGGAAGAGAAATTGGTTGGAAAACTAGTGAGGGACAAAAATATATTGGGAGAGGGGAACACGGTTTTTGACATTCTCTGGTCATAGAGTATTCTCAAGTGTTGTGAGGGTCCTTGTGAGAAGAATAGAGGAAGAAGCAGAAAAGGGAGGAGTTATATTGGTCATTTTGGAGGAGCAAGAAAATGAGCACGGAACATTATTACTTCAAAGTGTTCGAAATAAATTAGAATTTTGAAATTGAAAAATTCAAATACATTATATATACCATATTTCCTCTAATTCCCCCACGAGCTTCTATTTTTCAACCACTTTCTCAGGGTGGACTTCTATTAGAGGTGGGCTTCTATTTTTCAATGATTTATTTTCAAAAAAAATTTATTCAAAAATGCAGAAATTGGACAATTCGGAAGCTATAAATTCTGTAATGCAGTGTTTTGGAAAATTCGAAATGTTCATTCTGCAATTCTAAATCCCAAAACTCCGAATTTATGACATTCTGAGATTCCAGGATTTCAAAATTCGAAATTCTGAAACTCTGAAATTCCGGGAAAAAGTTCTAAAATTCTAAAAATCTGAAATTCCGAAATTTAAAAATTAGAAAATTCAGAAATTATGAAATTTTCGAGTTCTAAAATAAACAGTTCCAAAATTCTGGAATTTTGAATTACCCTATTTTCTCTAATATGTAGAAGTTCATGGGCTTCTATTGGAGGTGGACTTCTATTAGAGGAAATACGGTTATTATATTTCTTTTTGTTAATTTCTTTTGAAAATTGGTTGAATATTATTCTGGAACAAAAAAAATCGGAGCTATGGAAGAGTAAAGCCGGTGGCCGTGGCCGAAGGTCCCTCAACGACAACTACCGTATTCAAAAATGTCTTAGTGGTCCGTATTTGTTTCCTGTTTCTTGATTCCGTCGATTTTTCTGTAACTTTTCCCAAAAAAATCGGAAAGTTAAAATTTTTGATAGTGCCTAAAAACGAAAAAAAAAATCTGAAAAAATGACTTATAACGCACGAAAATCGAGAAAATAATTCTGGAAATTGAACATAGTTCTAGGTTGCGGTAGTTTTCGCTGTGGGACCTTTAGCCACGGCCGCCGGCGCTTCTCTTTTACAGCTCCCATTTTTATTCTACCAGAATATTATACAAGAACTTTTTCTATGGAAATAGGTCAACGATATATTTATGTAATGCAGTTTTAAGGACATAATTTCTATAAAAAGTTGAATACAAAGTTTGAAAGAAAAAGTTCGTCCAGGAGGAGACACAGTCTTACGCAGTCTTTGGTCTCTTTTTTTCAAGAAAAGAAAACGAAAAACTAATAATTCATACCTCTCATTTTTTTGAATTCGGAACTAGAATGGTGAAGTGAAGAATACGTTAAAATCAATTTTTAAAGAAGAAAGTTGCTCCAAAATGAAGAGAATTTAAGATTAAAAGGTGTACAAGAGACAAGAAGACCGATTATAAGAAGTCGTGGGAATCCAAGTTCTCAATAATAAATGAGGAAGAAAGAGTTAAAAATGGAGAAGAAGAAAAAGGTTGACTTCATCTGATTAGTTTCAGATACTCTTCTTCTTCTTTCCACGTGATGTACCTCCCTGTGCATGTCAACAAAATGGACACAATGAGAGCAAACAAAAGAAGAGTGATAAGAGAAGTATGTCTGAACAAGAAGAAGAGCCACTAGGTTGTCCCTCTCTCACAATATAATTTAATGCTTTTTATTCTAAGTTTTGAAGATAACATTCTAACCTAAACTATAGACCTATAGGTCTTCCCCATGATCTCAACGTCATAAATCGCTGGAATTATTCATTGATAGCTTTCGCCGAAAACACTTTTATGTCTATTTTCTTTAGAATCGTTGGGTATCGTCATCGTCTCCGTTTTTAAACTTTCTTCAATTTTTTTAGTCTTCTCGTGATCCATCTACCCGCATTTGGTGACATCACTTGACACGTCGTGGATCTTTAAAGCTAATTTTCGCACAAACAGAGAGAAACAAATGACATGAAAAAGTGGGATGTACGTTAAACACGGGGGATGCAAAAAGTCATCTCTCTAGCTATGTAGTATATGCCAGGTATCGGGTTGCCTTCGAATTTTCCGAAATCTGTTTTTTTCGTTTTTTCCTCAGTCAGTTGCCACAACACATAAGATGCAGATGTTGTTAATGACATGATTATGATGGGTTTAGGGTAATTAAATTGAGTGAGAGATAGATGAGAAAAATGAGATTTCGGAGGCTCGCGGACGGGCTCTTCGAGTTCGTACACCTGAACTGATTTAACAACAAGAAAACGAAACAAAGGGATAGAATGATCAATCTGTTGAGAGCACTGATTGGTTGATACAGATATCAGACATCTTAAAACCTTTAATAGAACATAGTCAAGTTTCAGCTTAATTCCCACACATAGTCAAGTTTAAGTTTAACTATCTGGCTCCGCGACATTTCGAAACCGGTCATTTCGAAACCGTGGTAATACAGGCGAATGGATAAATTTCAGACTACAAAAACAAATTTAGGGTTTTCAAATATGCTTTTTCTGATAGAACACATTCTGAAAATCAAAAAATTCGATAAATTTTCTTGTTTTGAAAACATTAAATTTTGGATTTTTTCGGATTTCAGAAT